TCTGGCTGCAGATGCTCTGTACTCTTCATATGTATCTGTAGAAATTTATCGTAACTGCAACATATATATATATATATATATATGTCTGTCTGTGTGTGTATTCTGTATTTTTGAAATCGACAAGGTTAACAAATACTTTTTCTTTATTGTAAAACCTGTGCTCCACTACAAAACAAACTTTTAAACAATTACAAAACGAGTTTATCATATTTTTTATGTAGCTTGAAAATAGTTTACTTGCTATTCGTATGTTCCTTCTTTTAATCTTTTCTACTCTCTGAGATATAGGTGTGTAGTTGATTTTGCTTTGCTTTCCAGGTCCATGAGATGTGTAGTAAGTCATATTTTATCTTACTTTCCAGGTTCATGAATTGTGTGATAACTTCTGTCAGAGATACATCAGTTGTCTTAAAGGGAAAATGCCGATTGATTTAGTAATAGAAGAAAGAGATACAAAACCTGGAGACTTGGGAGACAACAATAACAACAGTAACAGCGGAGGTGGAGGGGGTGGTAACACCAACGGGAACATTGGGGGAGGTGGTGGTAGAGGGAGTGACTCCACAGGACACAACAGTGACCATTCAACACCACCGGATCAGGTAAAACTATTTTAGGGTTTATGGGACATGTTTGAAATATACTACTGAAATTATTAGTGAATTAATGTTTTCCTACTAAACTTTTTAAAAACAAATCGCCCCTATCTCGATTTGCTTGCGTGATTAAAACATTGTTGAATACATATAAATCTACATATTTACGTTTGTTTGCTTAGAATTGTCGCACAAAGCTACGCAAGGGATTTCTCCGCATTGCTCTCCCTAATTTTGAGTGCATAAAGACTAGACGTAAGGCAGTTAGTCAACAGTACCCACCGCCAACTCTTGGGCTACTATTATCTGGTCAATTAGTGGGATTTTACTGTCACTATTACAGATCGTACGCAACACTTAAATATATTTTTGCAGCATCGGGACGCGATTAACAACCAGGCACGCTGACGACTAGATCAAGCCCGGCCCACATACTTGCATGTTTTTTAATTTGCAGTTATATGGGGGGGGGGTACATTTTTTTGTTACGAATGTGTATGTGTGTGTGTTCTGTTATAGCAAAGCCTCATCAGGCTATCTGCTGTGTCCACCGAAGGGCATCGAACTCTTGGTTTTAGTGTTGTAAATCCAAAGACCTACCGATTTCCCCCTCCGGGGGGGGGGGGGACTTGCTACACGTGTATAGGTTTTTATGTGTAATTGAATATTTATAAATATTCAAATGATTTGTATGGCAACGTAAATTTGGTTTTTTGCTTTGCTAAACTTCATATCACTGAAATGATTTTCACCATCAATTTCATTTCCTGTCTATGTATTGTATTTGTTGAGTTTTTGTTTCTTGGATTTCACGCGAAAATACTCGATGACTAGCTGAACTAGCCGACCCTAATTTAGAAGTGGTAGACTAGAAGTAATTCAGCATCACCTTTTGTGACCTCTTGGACTACTCTATCCAGCTAGTGTGATTGACCGTTACATTATAACGCCTCCACTGCTGGAAGGGTGACTATGTTCGGTGATGAAATTCGAACCTGCGACCTGTAGATTTGCGATTCGAACGCTTTAACTACCGGGTCCTGCGTAAAATATGAAAACTGTATATGCATGTTTCTTTTCGTTGAGCTGTGTATCAAAAAGTTGAGGGTTACATGTACCTTTAAGAAGATATAATACAATGTGTTCTGTACGTTATGTCATGCGACAATGTCACTTGAGTAAACTAGAAATTACAGAAATAAACCATAAAATATACAACAACAACAAAAAAAGACTACCAGTGGCACAGCGGTAAGTTTGAAGACTTATAACGGCGAAGATCTGGTTTCGATACCTGCGGTGGACACAGCACTAGTAACATATTGTGTAACTTCGTGCTTAACAACAAACAAAAATAGAAATCATGATATGATTTGTGGGTACCAAGAGATCCAACACGAAGGATTTTTGGACATTTTGTAAAAACACTAATGGCATTTTGTGAATCTTGTCTGCCGGTAATCAAGCACGTGGGGCGATATCTTCAGTTTTAGGTGTAACTGGATATTGCTGGTGTAGAGTAAGGTGCGATGGTAAGTGAACAACGCCGTGAATGTGACGGCCCTGGCCATTTCCTTTTGACACTACTGGGAGATGTTATCTCTGAGGCAAGCTGCACAGGTGTAGCTAGGCCTAACTGATGGCCGTGACAACTAGACCTAATGGAATTGAGGTTAGGCCTGATTTCTTCTGCAAGAGATGAAGCTTGCAGTTCGGACTGCTCGGTGAAGTAAATGCTGGCATGTCATACGGTGAGCACAAAATGATAACGTCCGCCTCTGGTGCGCGACGGGGCGTGGGACGGAGTGGAGAACTCTCAACTTTGTACTGAAACACCCCCCCCCCCCGTATTTCCATCAAGAAGAGTTTAAAGTAACTTAAATATGTTTACGTGACAGTTTTGTAAAATTAAAAATGCGTACAGTGTTCACAGTAGAACAAATCTCCTTTTAACATCAATTAATTAAAACAAATCATAAAATAAAACTTGTTAAAACAATTTTACATAAACACTTGCCTATAGGAACAATTTTAATTAACAATAGCATACGTATTTCATCTTCCGTTTAATAAGTTTTTTTTTTTCATAATACAACTCCGTTTTCAATGGTTAAGCTTTTATTTAAGCTGCCACTGGAAGCTTTCACACACCAGAACAATTCAGATGGAAAAAATAAACGGTTTACAAAACTAATTCGCGACGTGAAAGCTTTAAAAACATAATGACCAAAATACCTTGTTTGCCAAGAAAATCCGATAACTTTTAAGACCTGTAGGGAATACTTTGCGAGTTATAGACACGTGAAATTTTAGGCTACAGAAGAGATTTGGTGTTTTCAACTAAATATTTCGGAGGTTAAATTATTTATTTAGGAGTGAGGCAAATTTGAAATTTTACAGTTTTAGAAATTATGTGTGTGTATGTGGGGGAACAGCTTCGTTGTTTGAGGCAAATGTTTAAATATTCTAGCCAGTGGTTCCCAAACTGGGGGCCACGAGACGGTTTCAACATAATTAGAAGTACTTTCTTCCAAACTTTCCAGACACCAGACGTGTGATATTTTCAGTGAGAATTTTATTTATTGCAGTACGTCTACACAACGTTGTTTATGTTTTAGTGTTTTTTTTAATCATTAGGTGAGCCTCTTTAACCAGGGTCTCTAAAGTCGTGGAGGCCTCAATCTAAAACATTTGAGAATCATTGTTCTACAAACTGGTTGTTGAGTTTCAGAATCCCCTGCTCCAACAAGCTGGTTGTTGAGTTTCAGAATCCCCTGCTCTAACAAGCTGGTTGTTGAGTTTCAGAATCCCCTGCTCCAACAAGCTGGTTGTTGAGTTTCAGAATCCCCTGATCCAACAAGCTGGTTGTT